AGCAAGTTTGGGGAAGGATGGGTATACAGGTATTCATACCCTTTAGTGAGCACATAGTACTTGCACTCCGCCCACTTGGAAATTGGGGGTATTGATGCAGGGGTCTGCCAGAGGCCTTGGTAATCTTGGCCTCCCCCTAATGTACTGGCAGCACGACTCTAGCAGTTGCTGCGGAGCTGAGGATGTTGAAGAGAGTGTCTGAGGGCTCCTTGGTTTCTAGCCCCAAGTTTGAGGTTACCCTCCTCAAAAGCTCCTGATGAGCTGTGGCATCGTCCTGGGGGACCGTAGACGGGGGTCCCATGATGGCCTCATCGGGTGATGAGAAAGAGGATGTAGGTGCAGCAAGAGTCACCACCTCTGTGACCTGATCGGCATGGCCTTCTTCCCCCATCTGTTGGACACGGGGGGGTCCCAGGCATGGCGGCCTTAGTCTCAGGTGGGCAGGAGACCGTGGCAGAGGGCTTGTCAGAGACTCCCAACACTGACTTGTACCTTTGGGGGAGCTGCGTGAACCCCCACAGGTTCTAAGGGTGCCACAGCATGGGCCACTGACCCTGTGGCCACGGTAGTGCTGACAGTGCCGCAGGGAGAACTGGTGTCACCAGTGGAGGACCTTGCCCCACCTATAGGGTTTCTTGGTCCGACTCCGAGCCCAGGGATGGAGGGCCATGTTCCGGAGACTGGGACCGCACCAAGGCAGACCAGGCGTCTTGGTCCTGGCTGTGTCCACCGCCACACTCCGAGTGGGATGTGTATGCAGGAGATGATCCACCGCGTCGAGTTCCCAGGCTCCAATTGGTATATAGCCCTATGTCCAAAGCATGGTGGCTCTGCGTGGGCAAGCACTGGTGGGACGCTCCCTGAAGTGGCGAGCGGTACAGCATTGATGGGGACTGAGGGGGAGGTCCAAGGGCAGGCTTACCTCTTGATTTGGGAGCTGCCGTCGCCGGTGTGGGTGGCACCGGGTGGGACAAGATATTCTACGCCGCCTACAGGGCCTCTGGGGTTAACAGTTAACGGCATCACCAGGTGCTGGACTCCCATACTGCTGTCCGGGGTGGCCAGCACATCCCGGGATGGGCTAACCTGCTCAACTGAAGGCATCTCCCACTTGGAGTCGATGAGCTGCTGTTCGTTGGGTCTAGACTCGCCTCCTGCCCTCTCCTTGCCCTTGCGAGCAGGAGACTGACTTCTCCCGGTCTTCCTCCTTTTACTGGTCGGTGCTGGGGAGGTGGATGGTCATCTGTCTGATGATGGCACCCGCGGGCTGCTCTGCACTGACGCCACGGTGCTGGGTGCGGAGTCCGATCTCAGCTGTTCCGGTGCTGATGTCAGCGCCAACTCCATAAAGAGCACTTTAAGTCAAATGTCCCGCTCTTTCTTAGTGCGAGGCTTAAAGCTTTTGCATATTTGACACCTGTCACTGATGTGAAATTCTCCCAAACACCTTAAACAACTGGTGTGGGGGTCACTGACCGGAATGGGTTTCTTACAGCGGTCGCGGTTCTTAAAACCCAGGGAGCAGGGTAAGCTCCGTCCCGAGCCTAAGTCCCATTTGGGACAACTAAAACTAACTAGACACACTAAGGGAACTAATACTAGTTGATATAACTATGTACAATAGAAAGGTTTGCAACAAACCTAGTGAGGTAAATAGAAAGGCGCATAAACACTGCAAAATTAAATGTAAAAATGTAATAAGAAAAGTGAAAAAGGAGTTTGAAGAACAGCTAGCCAAAAACTCAAAAGATAATAACAAAATGTTTTTTAAGTACATCAGAAGCAGGAAGCCTGCTAAACAACCAGTGGAGCCCCTGGACGATCAAGATACAAAAGGAGCACTTAAAGATGATAAAGTCATTGCGGAGAAACTAAATGAATTCTTTGCTTCAGCTTTCACAGCTGAGGATGTTAGGGAGATTCCCAAACCTGAGCCGTCTTTTGTAGGTGACAAATCTGAGGAATTACCACAGATTGAAGTGACACTAGAGGTGGTTTTGGAATTAATTGAGAAACTTAACAATAACAAGTCACCAGGACCAGATGGCATTCACCCAAGAGTTCTGAAAGAACTCAAATGTGAAATTGCGGAACTATTAACTATGGTTTGTAACCTGTCCTTTAAATCAGCTACTGTACGCAATGACTGGAAGATAGCTAATGTAACGCCAATATTTAAGAAGGGCTCTAGAGGTGATCCTGGCAATTACAGACTGGTATGTCTAACATCAGTTGGGCAAATTAGTTGAAACAATAGCAAAGAATAAAATTGTCAGACACGTAGAACATAAATTGTTGTGCAAAAGTCAACATGGTTTCTGTAAAGGGAGATCATGTCTTACTAATCTATTAGAGTTCTTTGAGGGGGTCAACAAACATGTGGACAAGGGGGATCCAGTGGGCACAGTGTACTTAGATTTCCAGAAAGCCTTTGACAAGGCCCCTCACCAAAGGCTCTTATGTAAATTAAGTTGTCTTGGGATAAGAGGGAAGATCCTTTCATGGATTGAGAACTGGTTAAAAGACAGGGAACAAAGGGTAGGAATAAATGGTAAATGTTCAGAATGGAGAGGGGTAACTAGTGATGTTCCCCAAGGGTCAGTCCTAGGACCAATCCTATTCAACCTATTCATAAATGATCTGGAGAAAGGGGTAAACAGCAAGGTGGCAAAGTTTGCAGATGATACCAAACTGCTCAAGATAGTTAAAACCAAAGTAGACTGTGAAGAACTTCAAAAAGATCTCACAAAACTAAGTGAGTGGGCAACAAAATGGCAAATTAAATTTATTGTGGATAAATGTAAAGTAATGCACACTGGAAAAAATAACCACAATTGTACATACAATATGATGGGGGCTAATTTAGCTACAACTAATCAGGAGAAAGATCTTGGAGTCATCGTGGATAGTTCTCTGAAGACATCCACGCAGTGTGCAGTGGCAGTCAAAAAAGCAAACGGGATGTTAGGAATCATTAAAAAAGGGATGGAGAATATCTTATTGCCCTTATATAAATCCATGGTACGCCCGCATCTTGAATACTGCGTACAGATGTGGTACCCTCATCTCAAAAAAGATATACTGGCATTAGAAAAGGTTCAGAAAAGGGCAACTAAAATGATTAGGGGTTTGGAATGGGTCCCATATGAGGAGAGATTAAAGAGGCTAGGACTTTTCAACTTGGAAAAGCGGAGACTAAGGGGGGGATATGATAGAGGTATATAAAATCATGAGTGGTGTGGAAAAAGTGAATAAGGAAACATTATTTACTTGTTCCCATAATATAAAAAATAGGGGCCATCAAATGAAATTAATGGGTAGCAGGTTTAAAACAAATAAAAGGAAGTTCTTCTCCACTCAGCGCACAGTCTACCTGTAGAACTCCTTGCCTGAGGAGGTTGTGAAGGCTAAGACTATAACAGGGTTTAAAAGAGAACTGGATAAATTCATGGAGGTTAAGTCCATTGATGGCTATTAGCCAGGATAGGTAAGGAATGGTGTTCCTAGCCTCTGTTTGTCAGAGGGTGGAGATGGATGGCAAGAGAGAGATCACTAGGTTCACTCCCTCTGGGGCACCTGGCATTGGCCATTGTCAGTAGACAGGATACTGGGCTGGATGGACCTTTGGTCTGAGCCAGTATGGCCATCGTTATGTTCTTATGCTGTTCTTATGAACAGTTCTATGGAAGAAAAGGTTTGCTGAAGCAAAGAAATGTACTAGCACCATCACTGGTTGTAAGAAGGAAGGAACTGAGGGGTGGCGGGAGCTGGTGGCGCCCCTTATATCGCGGCATATGTGCGCCACTCCAGCAGGCACCAGACCCAGTCCCCCACAAATACCACTGAGGGAAAAACTTGTGGCACTGGTATACGTGGTGAGCACACACACCTAACATGGAATGGACGTAAGCAAGCACTTGAAGAACTAAAATTATTACTTTCCCTGTTTTTTTTCTATCACAGCTATACAGCAGCAGTAGCATATTTAACTGAGCTAGAGAGGTGTACAGCAGTGGCTCTCAACCTTTCCAGGACTACTGTACCTCTTTCAAAAGCCTGATTTGTTGTCCCAAGTTTCACCTCACTTAAAAACTACTTGCTTTCAAAAATCATACATAAAAACACAAAAGTGTCACGATACACTATTACTGAAAAATTGCTTACTTTCTCATTTTACCATATAATTATAAAATAAATCAACTGTGATATAAATATTGTAATTACATTTCAGTGTATAATACATAGAGTAGTATAACCAAGTCACTGTCTGTACGAAATTTTAGTTTGTACTGACCTTGCTAGTGCTTTTTACATAGCCTGTTGTAAAGCTAGTCAAATATCTAGATGAGTTGATGTATCCTCTGGAAGACCTCTGCGTACTCCCAGGGGTAATTGTTACCCTAGTTAAGAACCACTGGTGTACAGTGTGTGATCTTGTTATTGGGCCCTTGTCATTTCATATTTATCCCCCCTATTGTTTGTTACTCCACTGATCGTGTCATATCTAAAATGATATTGCAAGCTCTTTGGGGCTGGGGCTGCCTAATTACTATTTTCATTCTATAAAGGAACTGTAATACTCCCATGGTGAAAAGAGCTGGGTGTTGGGAGGGTGTCTCAGTTCAGTTCTTAGTAGGCAACTCTCTCTTTTCTGAACTTCCCGTCATAATTGGCATCTTTGTTTGCAGTCTTATCCCTGAAAAACAGTTGTCAAAGATTCAGCAGGCCATTGAAAATGGATTCTTTTCCTCCTCCTCCTCTTAGGAAAGGTCCCTCCAGAGCAGTGCTGAGGGATATTGGCAGGAGGTGAAGTAGAGCAAGCTTGCACAGCCACTTCTATGAATAAACAGAAAATTTCGGTCTTCAGCCCCAAGGGTTGTCAATCCAAAATCTTTCACCACCTCCAAATTCACCAAACCAAAAGCCCAGAGGTATTGGAAATGTGATAACTGCCAGAGCAATTCAAAGCCATCACACAACCAGCCCCAACAATACTTTACCTTCTGCTGAGGAAGAAGGGAATTCTGGCATTTCATGAGCTGTTGGTGTCTGAGGAGAACTGTTTGAACTGGTTTCCTTCAAACTGCTATTGGATGATCCACTTACTGTTGCAGTAGCTTTAAAATAAATATCTGACTGAAATGACAAAGAACACATTGTTAGCACAGCAAGACTTCCCAGTTTATCATTGAGACGTGCCCAAAGAGTTGTCCTTTACATGGTGCAGCCATTGTATGCTGATTTGACAATGGAAAGGCCTTAAAGACATCTGGAGCGGACATCCAAGAATCCTCTGGTGGAATACAGTTGGCAGAGCAGCCAGCTCCTACATGATCCCTCTACTCGCAGTTAGAGAAGGTGGTATGGCCTGGGCTTTCTGGAGAGCTGTCAACTCCTGACTGGGCCCCTTGGCCCTGTTGGCAATCACTGCACATTAGAGTAGCCTGAAGGACAAAGGTGACCAGCCCAAATGGCTCCAGGAATAGGAGAAGGTCAAAAACAGCACCAAGCCATATTGGCACACTCCTACCCTCCCACGTATGCTGTGTGCTCCTCAAATACAACTGAGGAACTGGACCAGAGTCCAAGGGTTTGGCTCAATAAGCAACTTGTGTTCATATGAAGTTAGAAAATGTAGCCTAATCTTTCCTTTACTATCACTGTTCCTTATTACAAATAGAGAATTCTCCCTCCTTTTTCCAGGTGCATATATAAGGGCTAAGCACAAAACATACTAAGCCATCTTCATCCTTGAAGTCATGGAATTACGCAAGGATGAAGTTGGCCTATTTGCACTTACTCCATGCACTCACATCTGGTGACTCACCAAACCCCTTTACCCTGTGTTCAGTCAGAGGAATGTCAAGTGGAAAAGAGAAAGGGGTATTCCTAACTATGTAAAATGAAAGAAACTGGGAAAGACATTTGAAAAGGAGCATCTCTGGGTAAGCAATGGTAATATAAATGATAGTGCTGCACTTGGATTTGAGATTTATACTCAAATAAGGAATATATATGGTCACTGCAGTCAATGAAATGAGCAGTCCTGTGCTTCTTTAAGATCATACATCTAAGTATACAGTTTCAAATGACATATATAATCTGCAGCCTAACTTGCTCATATAGGATCAACTATTTTTGTGATTTTAATAGACTGTTCTGAAGGGGACTATCTCCATTCTATGCTCGCACACCCAGAAGTCTGTGTTACCAGGAACTGCACATACACATTGTAATGAGACCTCACACAGGGGCCCAACAGGATTTTCCTATGTCTTACCCTTGATGCAACAAGTTGAAGTTCAGGCACCACAGCTGTGTGGACTAGGTTCCCATTCACCACTAATCGTATCTCTATGGAATCAGTAGTGAAGGCCAGGATATAAGGGAAAGCACAAACTGCAAGGGAACAAGGGCTGCTATTAGTGAGAAAAATTATGAACATATATTTGTATCAGATGTTTTACAAAAGCACCTAGAGTTTTTAAAAAATTCTAGAAGTTTCCTGAAAATCTGACTTTCTCTAGCATCTCCACTCTCTAGTGTAAATATTTTAGAAGTTTTTAAACAGCCTCTAAATGCTGATGGGTGTCCAACTGCATAAAGCCTGTATGACTACCTGACTCTCCACATTTAGTAGGATGTAGATGGAATCTCTCAAATAGAGCAGGAGGAAATGAACGGGCTGAGGAGAACAAGAAAAAGAAGCCAATGATTTCAGAATTTTGTTTTTGCACGGAAAGAATCTGCCAAATAGATATAGAATAGCATTTCTAAACTATCAAATGCAAAAATCTAGGTGAACTGGCACAGCCCTAGAACTGAGTGTGACATGGCTGCATTTCTGTAATACCCACTGCTGCTCCAGTAGGGGCCAAGTACAATTCCAAACCAAATGAAAATGTTAAACCATCCTACTAGATTACCACAGCCTTTTCTTACCAATAGCATAAGGAACCTGGTTCCAACTAAAGTGGAAGTCTGATGCCGATGTCTGGACCAAAGGAGAAACCCCATTATAGGGGCATACCTTTCTGTAGTAGCAGACATCTGTAACAAAAAACATCTGTTACCTCACACAGAAAATGACACAAACTGACATTAAATAAAATGGCTTAGAAAATTGGATTATATCTTCCTGCACAGCTGTTAAAACCATAAGAACATGAATTTACTGACTACAATTTTTAAAGGGAGAAAAACAGAGGTAATATAGAATATATAATATATTGTGTCTCATCTGTGGTAAAATCTGATTTTAAGTGTCTACTTTGATGTCAAAGCTATTTATAATTTATTTTATAATTCATTAATATTTTATGAAATCATGTGTTTGCTTGCTTCCCTGATCCTCCATTACTTTTCTGTGGCTAGAGACATGGGCAAGAAACGTTCTGAAGTTGACATCAATGGCACAGTATCTGTCGGCCAACATGAACACCCTTTACGCAGTCATACATTAGCACAGTTCACACTCCCCAAAGACTGAAATGTACAGAGAGGAGAAACTTCCCTATGAGGCCTGGGGGATATTAGACAGAGGTTTTATTAATCAAATGACTTGTGCACCCAGTCTCTCAGGAACTGCAGTGTTATTTTTACAATGGCTCAAATTCTATCAAATTCATGGTTTTCATGTCATGCTATGACATTCATTACAGATGGTGATCTGGGCATAGAGACTAAGGCCCAATATCTTAAAGGTATTTAAGCATTGCTGCACTCAGTGTTGCAGTGCCTACCTAATTTAAGATCCTAAGTCTCATTTTCAAAAGGAATTTTGGTAGTTATGAGCCTAAATTCCATTGACTATCAACAGGATTAGGCTCGTAAGTGCCTGAAACCTTTTTGAAAATGACACATAGTCTCCTAAATCAGGTAGGCATTGCAGTGCGGAGCACAGCAATGTCTAAATACTGATGAAAAGTTGGGACCTAATTGTTTTGTCCAAGGTTACACAGGAAGTCTGTGCTGGAGCAAGGAATTGCATCAAAGTCTCAAGCAAGAGTCCTAATCATTGGATGATTCATTAAAGATTGTGAGGGGCTCAGACACTCTGGTAATGGGGTCATATAAGAAAGAAAGGCAATTATAATAATGGATACCTCAGAGCTGACATTTTAGTGAGCAATTAACTCCAGAGGTGGTTCTCCAAAATTGGAGAATTTCATTTGAACCCCTGAAAATAGAAGCAGGTAGCTGATGTTTCTACATTCTGCACAGCTTGTCATAAAACAATAATGAAAATTATATTGAAAAACTGCTAACTTAGCAATATGTAGAATCATATCCCACAGACAAACAGAATTGATACAAGCAGACTGATATATTAATGTTTTTAAACTTTCTTTGCTATTGCCTGGATCAAATAAAACAGCACTTACAGTTATAACACAACAGTAGACCAGCATCACCATCTTCATATACATCAATAGCTGCAACAAAATTAACCTGCAATGATAATGGGTAAGGGTAGTGGGCAGACTGGATACTGAGGTTATTACAAACTGCTTTTGAGAAAAATGCAACACTTTGTCCCAGAGTCAGTGGAGATGCACTCCTGCAGCTCAGAACAAAATCTGTCCTTTTCAAGTGTAGCCGTCTGTATCTATGCCTTTATTTGACATTCATTGTAAATCCACTCTTAGTAAGGGATTCAATTAGTTTTCCAATCAATATTTTCTATAGTAATATCATAATGCAGTAACAGACCTTATCTGGAAACACAGATGTTTAGAAAAGGGAAGTTACTTACCCTTTATAACTGGAGATCTGTAGATTCTTCAAGATCTGTAGTTCCTATCTGTATTCCACTGTGCGCTGATGTGTCGGAGACTGGAGATTTCTAGCAAGTAGTGTCTGTCTCCGCCTACGTAGTTGTTCCCCTCGTGTTCCAGACTGAGGGCATAAAGGATGATGCGGACTGACCCCTCTCCAGTTCCTCTTACTGCAGATCAGAGAGGATCCGAAGTAGAGGGGAATGAGGGTAGGTAGTGGAATACAGATAGGGACCACACATCTTGAAGAACTCCAGTAATGAAGACTACTTAATTCCCTTGTTTCTTTGAGTGCTGGTCTCTGTGTGTATTCCACTGTGAGTGACTGACAAGCAGTACTCAGAGAAAAGGAAGATGCAAGGATGCAGCTGGGATGGCTGCTTGCAGAACCGCTATCCCAAAGGATGTGTCAGCAGAGGAGGCTTGACCCAAGACATAATGTCTCATGAATGTGTGCCTGGAACTCTACATGACCACCTTGCAAATGTCAAACAGAGGTACTTGTTGGAATGATGGTGCTGAGGCTGCCTGTGTTCTTTTAGAGTAAGCCCATATCCCGTGTGCGATAAGACAGTAAATAAAGTAGGATGCAGCCAGAGATCCTCTGAGAGGAAAAAGCTTGTCCTTGGACTTGTTCTGCTGTGGCCAGAAACAGCGTAGGTGACTGATTTGTTCAGTTCTCTGTAGGTAAAAGGCTACAGCTTGTCTCACATAACAGAGATGAAGTTTCCTTATTTTGATGGATGTGTGGGCCTTCAGAAAGAACACAGGTAAGTGCATATTCTGGTTTATGTGAAATTCCTAAACTGATTTAAGGGTGAATTTCAAGTGTAGTTGTAGTGAGATCTTGTCTTTATGAAATGTAGTATAAGGAGGGTCTGCCATCAGGGCTCCTAACTCACTTATTTGTCTGGCTGAGCTGATAGCAGCAAGATAGGGAATCTTCATAGATTGGTAAAGCATCGAGTTGGAAGGGTGGCACAGTGACTGTTGGAAGCACTAAATTAAGATCTCATTGAGGGGTTGGTTTTATTACTCGTGGGGAAGTTCTAATTAAAACCCTTTAAAAACTTGGAGGTGATGGGGTGAATAAGGTAGCATAGCTGTCTGATGGAGGGTGATGTGCTGATTGCTGCTAGGTGAACCTGTATGAAGCTAAGGGAAAGGCCAAACTTCTTGAGCATAAGAAGGTAATGTGGGATATTACATGACTCAGGAGACTCAATAGAGCTGCTGGGCCCAGATAGAGAAACGCTTCCAATTGACAAGACAACATTTTCTCATGGAGTCTGTTAAGGCTGATTCCCCACTCTGGCACTTTGAGTGCAGAAGGTGGGGACCCATAAGGATTCTAAAAATTAATACTGGCCACTCAAGACTGGTATTAAAATCCCAAGGTCACAGTTTCTCTCTGACCTTGGATGGGTAGATGCCACCACCAGCCAAGTGCAAAAAACCCCAACAAAAAACAAACAAACAAAAAAAACAACCCTTGGAAACCAGGAAGGCTCACTTGGGAATTCGTTCCTATGGGGTACCCTCAAGCCCTTTCACCCCTCCCTCTGTGGAAGAGCTGAGAAAGAAAACAAAGGAAATTAGCTGTTGCCCCCAACTAATTAAACAACATATGCACAAACTTCTTAGGACACCAAAAATCCAATCCTGTTCTTAAAAAAGGTAAATTGTATTAAAAACAAAAAAAGAAATTACATCTGGAATTTAGGCTTTTGCTAGATTTTAAAAAAAAGCAATTACAAAAATTAAGCATCAAGATAGCTCTCTTGAGGTTTAGCTTAAAGGTTACTAGCGAAACAAAAGCACCTGGGGTTAGTACAGAGGAGTCCACAAGCCAATAAGAACTAAAAGAAATAACCCTAATTGCATCTTCCTAGACATTCCCTGATTACTGACATATTGGGGGTTTCACATAAGTAGGGTTGAGGTATGATTGATGAGGTAGGGTTGATGCTTTTTCATATCTGGTTTTAAAGCTCTTTACAGCATAGCTTCAGCCCTGTCCTGCTCTGTCCCCCGTCACTGGAGAACAACAACGAGAAAGGGAAGTTTTTTTCCCCAATTTTAAAAAGTTCTAGCCCTCCCATTGTCTCTTTTGGTCAGGTGTCCACTCCCTTTCTTTAACCTAGCCAGGAATACTTTTTAACCCTTTACAGATTAAGCAAGCAGACAACAGCCAACAAGAGTGACTTTATAGCTGACTGGTTGGCTGGGTGTCCATAAAAGGGAGCTACTCCCTCCCCTTCATTTATCACAGAGTCCATTCTACTATTAATAAGGATGGCTTGCACATTCTGGGAACAGGAACATTCTAGATCCAATGCCCATCCAAATACCAACCTGTGAGATGAAGAATTCCGGGTTGGGATGTCTGATCTTGCCTTTTTCTTGAGCCAAAAGGTCTGGAAAACAATTAACGCTGACTAGTGGTCAGGCTGACACATGCAGGAGAACTGGAAACTAGAACCTCCTGGTCCATCTGGGCATGATGAAAATGACTCGTGCTCTATCACATCAAGACTTCTGTAATACTCAAGGAAGCGGTGGGACGGGTGGAAATGCTTAGTTTAGGTGGTCTGTTCAAGGAAGAAGGAAAACAGCGCTGTTGGAGAATGGCCTTGAACTTCCCTAGAAAAAACAGTTACTAACCTTCGTAACTGTTGTTGTTTGAGATGTGTTGTAGGTGTATGCTCATCCCAAGCACAGTCACCAGAAAATTTTCCCTCAGTGGTACCTGTTGGGGGTGGCTCGAGCGCCCTCCGATGCCGCACGCTCACAGCGCCAGTATAAAGCCCCCAGCTGACCCTGCACCCCCTCAGGTCCTCCTTTTTTGGATAGCTCTGATGTAGAGAGGGAAGAGCATCTTTGCAAGCAGGCACGAAGAGAGGGAAGAGCATCTTCTCAAGCAGGCTGGCTAACCTAGTGAGGAGGGCTTTAAACTAGGTTCACCAGGGGAAGGAGACCAAAGCCCTGAGGTATGCGGGGAAATGGGATACCGGGAGGAAGCACGAGCAGGACAGCGCGGGTGGGGGGGGGGGCCCTCCTGCCTCATACTGAGAAAGAGGGACGATCAGCGAGTTATCTCAAGTGCCTATACACAAATACAAGAAGCCTGGGAAACAAGCAGGGAGAACTGGAAGTCCTCGCAAAGTCAAGGAATTATGATGTGATTGGAATAACAGAGACTTGGTGGGATAACTCACATGACTGGAATACTGTCATGGATGGATATAAACTGTTCAGGAAGGACAGGCAGGGAAGAAAAGGTGTGGGAGCTGCACTGTATGTAAGGGAGCAGTATGACTGCTCAAAGCTCCGGTATGAAACTGCAGAAAAACCTGAGAGTCTCTGGATTAAGTGTAGAAGTCTGAGCAGGAAGTGTAGAAGTCTGAATAGGAATTCTGAATTGGGGGAAACCTATGGATTTCAAAAGGGCCACTGCATCAGCATAGGTGCCCAGTGACCTCTAGGATAAGTACTTGATAGCACCGTGTGCCTGGGTCCATAGCAGGGTAGGAGTGTCTGGGAGAGTGGCGGGAGTGACTCATGGGACAGGAGGAGTACGACCCAACCTCCAACTCAGAATATGATGAGTATCTATCTGGTGACCATGGAGGTGCGGTTCCCACTGGTGCTGCAGACCAGTGCCAAGGTGGGGAAGCCTGTGTCAAGGCCAGCATTGTTGGTTTCCCCTTAGACAGTACTGTTGGGCCTCATAGCAGACAGTAACTGGGAACAACAGGTTCCCTCTTGCCTGCCAGCACCAATACTGACAACTCCTGTACTGCCAGAGATACTAGTAGAGCCAGCGATAGCTGGTCTCTGGCAGCGACAAATGCCTCCAATGTGGAGGGCGCCGCAATAGCACTAGTACCACGCTGCATTCCCAAAGTAGAAAGCTCATCCAGTACCAGAGTCAATGATGTTTCATAAGAGCTGGAGGTCAGTGGTGCTGGCCGCTGCGATACTGAGGCAGAGGAGTGGCATGGCTTAGGTCGCACTCAACTCTGATCCCAATGCCTGGCCGTCTTTGGTGCCAGAGATTCTCCCACCTCATTTGGCTGCTTCTTGTCCCTTTTCCTTGGCTCTAGTGATGGTGAACAGTGCCAGGACTCTTGCACGGCAGAGCCCTTACCAAAACTGATGTACTTAGTGCTGAGTCCAACTGACTCGGCTCAGAGAAAGGTCTCAGTGCCTCCTCCAAGAGTAAATACTTCACTCTGGCCTTCTTCATGTGAGGCTGAAAGTCCCTGCAAATCTGGCAGCAGTCCCCAACGTGAACCTCTCCCAAGCACTTCAGGCATCTAGATTGCGGGTCACTCAGGGACATAGCCTAGTTGAAGGAAGTACAGGGCTTGAAGCCTTGTGACCGAGGCATGCCTCAGCACTGCATAACGGACCAAACTCCACCACCTAACTGAGATACACCAATTACACTAAACTGACTAAAAACTATTTACAACTAACCAAACTATATACAATTATAGGAAAAGGAAGACCACTGAGAAAATTTGCCAAAGCGAGGAGAACAGTTCCAGCAACCTGGGGGAAGGATAGTTTGAGCATTGGCCTGCTAAACCCAGGGTTGTGAGTTCAATCCTTGAGGGGGCCATTTAGGGAGCCGGGGCAAAAATTGGGGATTGGTCCTGCTTTGAGCAG